CAAATGATTCAGTTTCAAACCTTTATTTTCTACGTGCAAAATTTCGAACTCTTCATTAAAGATATGATTTTCTTCTAGAAGATGATTTGAATATGTTCAATTTGTTTTCTTATTTACATAGCTCGTATGATGTTCCTGGATTCGATTCCTAAATGTTCTGCCAGTTTGACCAATATATACCTTAGAGCATGTTCCACACTTTAATTAATGTACTCCTGGTTTCTCGAATTTGGATGTTTTGTCTTTATTATTTTTAACTAACTTACTTTTTGAAATCATTTTATTATAAACACACCTTTCAAATACCTTCCCGATAATGGTGGGAATTGTTATGGGTCGAAAATTACGCATACTAGAGGGGTCGCCTTTTTGAAAATAGGGCTTCCTACTCCAATTTTGAAAAAATCGGGAGAAACCCCGGATTGTATGGAGTAATTTATGTGTGCTAATGGTTTGGCGGTATATTGAGCAATTTTTTTAATGACCTTTGTCGAGATGCAATCTATTCCGGCATAATTGGTATTTTTCAATGAGCTAATCACATCCATGACGTCACAATCTAATACAGGGGAGAAACAAAATGTTCCACTTCTGTACATTGTGGTATAATTATTTTTTTTTAAATGAAGTGGCTGTCGACAGCTATTTTAGCGTTTCTTGAATAGAAACTGCCGAAAGCATTTGCGACGATTATTTCGTTTTCAACAATGTCATCATTTATATTAGATAACATTCTCACATTCAACTTTTTTTCAGGTGTTGATTACATGCATCCGGACTTGAAATACAATTATGTAAGTACTTAGGATCGATATCAAGTTCACTCTCTGTAATGCCTTGCCGTAATCATTAGTGCGGAAATGAGTAACACCATCCTACCCAAGCTAACCCTAAAGTAACCCATAACTTTGGATCACACTCAAATATGTTAGTACGCCGTAAATCATCAACCTGAATTTTGTTTCAGAATTCCAAGGCAAGCTACGACTTCAGCAGTAATGACCCATTTCCATTTCCACGTTATACGGACGACTGGTTCAACAGGTAATTTACATTTAATTACGAAACTGCTACGTGTGGGATATCGGGCAATTTATGAACCGTTTTTTGCAGTCTACAAAGTTATTTTGGATTGAATGTAGCAATTACGCTGCAAATAATTTTTTCAGAGATTGATATATTATGGCATTGTTCTGATAAACGTATCAAAAATGAGATATATTTCTTACTGTTTTTTATTGGTATATAACATGTTATGTAACCATGTGACAAATAAACAAAGTTGATTCGATAGAGAATCTATTGATGTGTAAAATGGCAAACTGAAAAGTTACTACGTAATGTAAACCACTGAAGTCAGGGACGTATCACTGGCTATCAGACCATTAAATCGAGACCAATATGCATACAGGTCAGGTACGTCAACAGAAACGGCTCTATGTCGGGTAACAGAAAAAGTAGAATATACTTACAAAAACAAGGAAGTACTTTTCGTTGCTTTCTTGGACATTGAAGGCGCATTTGACAATACCTCGTTAGAATCAATCATCAAGGCGTCGAGGAGAAGAGGGATCGACAAGACAAGCTGTAGGTGGATGGACTGCATGCTTAGGGAAATATTGGTATATACAACCATTATGAGGAAAACAGGCGAGTCACGGGGTTGTCCTCAGCGGGGGTTTTATCCCCTCTGTTATAGAACCTCATAATGGACAAGCTAGTATGTCTCCTGGACCACAATGAGTGTAAAGCACTGGGCTATGCAGACGATTTAGTCATCTTAGTCCAGGGTAAATACAATAATATAGTGAAGAAATGCATGCATCAGGCCCTAAATATTATAACAAGATGAATCGAAGAAGAAGGGCATAACATAAGTCCATCTAAATCGACCATAGTAGCATTCACCAAGAGGACTAAAACGGAGAGTCTCGGACCTCTAAAACTTCGAGGTGAAGAAATACAAGTGTCGCGTGAGGTTAAATATCTGGGTGTAATTCTAGATTCCAAACTGACCTGGAACCAACACTTGGACGAGATAAAAAGGGAAGCGGAGGTAGCACTGATGCTCGCCAGACGCACAAATATGGGGGCTAGAACAAGACATGGTATATTGGCTATACATGATGGTGGTTAAACCCATGATAACATACGCATCTCTGGTCTGGTGGCCAAAGATGAAGCAGGCGACCGCTATCAACAAACTAGGCAAGGTGCAAAGACTTGCATATTTGGGAATGACGGGAGCAATGTGAACACTCCTGAACCTACCTCCTTAACACCTCCTCCTGATAATGGAGGAGGCCAGGATGGGCCAGTTCAGACTAGAAAGCTCACCGAACTACGAAATATCGGACCAAACATAAATTTCGGAACATGCGGAGGAGCACATATTGAAAATGTTTACGGACCAAATGACACCGAAGTACACGTTTAACACAAACTTTGGCCAAAGTCATAAGCCGTGAAGAGTGGAAGACAACTCTTTCCAACATGGTTGGAAAAACACTTGGAATACAGATGGCTCGAAGACCAAATATGGAACGGGAGCGGAAGTGTATGCTATCTTGCAGTGTGCAAGGATTATTAAATTGAGACCTCAAGAAATGAGCGGATCAATATTTTAACAGACAGCAAGAGCGCACTAGGGGCTCTGACAAACCCGAAGGTACTATTACTTATGATAGTTATGTAGTAAAAACTTGACCGACCACCTCAACAGAAATTCCAAACATCTCTGTCGTTATTCTAATAAGCCTTTTCGGTGGCTTTCTGAAAAAGGTCCGGATATCCTTTCTCCGGAGTCTTTTAGTTTGGAAGAAATCCTTCGAGTTAGCGTATTTATTGCCTCGGTTTAATTTATTTTCTCCTCCGTGTCCTTATCAATCTCACTCCTGCAAGAAAATGCCTCTGTCGTCTACCCGCTTTCCATCCTCATCCTCTGTCTCTCTCGGGATTTGCGGAGGCGTACGAAGGAAAATACAAAATTTCATACGGCGGTTGAATGTCTTAGGGCTGTTGAACGTCCACAAAATGAAAAACTGCATTGCACATGCTTCGTAAAAACAGTGAAACTTTGAAAAAGTTTATATTGAAAGGCTATATTTTTGGGAAAGAAAGTTTTTGGCCTTGTACTACTCCATCTCGATACAAGAAATGTAGGTATCTTTTAATGCAAATGTTGTGACATAGGGACAAGCTAATTGTTGTTGTTCTATTTATTCATCTTCCAGATCATTATGATATTAGACATGTCAGTAATAAAAATAACAATATATAACTATAACGTTCGGTAACTATTTAGTTTTTATGCCATTCGAATTGACTTGCAAGCACTATGTAAACTATAATTTCACTCAGGACCTAACTCGACCTAACGGAAAATATATATTTAGTTGATGCTTGAAAAATATTTCAAAAAATACATTCTGAAGACGACACTTGTGTGTGTTCTGGACCTTTGTATTTGACGTTGTGTTTTTGACGTTTGGTTTCTTTGCATTTGGCACTGCCTTTTGCTTTTGAATTTTGTCTTGGTTGATCTTTGCAACCTGAGAACTGGGTATCTGTATCTGTAGAGTATCTGTAATGGGACCCATTATACATCCTCCCGAGGACTTGTCCTCCTGGGTCATTGTCCATCCTGGACAGGTCACTAGGAGACATCTCCTTTATAACGGCAGGTGTAGGCCAAAACTTGCCGTAAAGACACTCTCTTATTGAGAATAACTCATGACACTCGCATAGGACATGCCTGACAGTATTATCCTGCTGTTCACACATCCTGCATAGAGCTGTGTCCACTAGCCTCATATTATGGAGGTATTTCCTTAGTTGACAGTGGAAGGTCAGAAATCCTAATGTAGAGCGTAAATTTTTCCTGGTCATCGCCAGATATTTCTTCGGCGTCATCTTCCCAGAGTTGCCCAGGATGATCCAGGCAAGACTGCATCCTTTGATTCTATCCCATCCCTTTAGGAATTGAACATGGATTTGACGTTTGGATAGTTTTGCAATTGATGAAGTCATCAGGTAATGAGTGTAACTGAGTCCTAAAATTCTTAGTCCAGACGCTTTCTCGGCTAAAGAGCCGGCAATGTGATTACCTTCACTCCTGTCGTGTCCTTTAACTCACTTCAGGATGATGTTTTTATCTACCGAGGCTTTGGCTAAATCTTGGTGGCACTCTACTACTAGCCCTGAGGTAACACATTGTTTTTTCAAGGCTAATAGGGTTTGTCTACTATCAGTGCAGATTGTTATATTTTTTTACCAGAAATTCCTTTCCTGGTTCTCTCTTTTGTGGCGATTGAGATACCTGCCAGTTGTGTTTAAACCAGGCTGTGATTTTTCTCATTCCCCACTCAATCTTCAGGCTTAGTGATCTGGAGTAAACTCCTCATCTTGAGCCTTCTTTGCATTTTGAGACGTCTGTATATATGCGTATTGCATTTGTATAATATGCCTCTGTGTTCTCTTTTATTTGTATTTTGTAGGGTTTATTGAACACAAACCTGGGTTCAATTACATTAGTGGCTGCCTGCAGCAGAGGTTGTGCAGTAAGCGCTTCTCGCAAAGGCTCAGAACTGGGTATTCCAACTTAGGTTTCACCGTAACCTATCATTATGTGTTGATCCCATGGCGTTCTTGGCATGAGCTCTCGACATTTGTGGGACTCAGTTTGGCAAAGAAGCCAAAGAGCTTTGAAATTTGATTCAAAATTCGAAACACTGAGTACAGTACTCAAAGCAGAGAACAATGTTTGTTCAAATTTGCACAAACAACACCGATAACTGTGCCGGGTTGGTACATCTGCATAGTGTTCATCAAAGAAAACTGATCCAACGACGATTTTTGTCGAAATTCTGATCTTCGTTTTCAAAGATATTTTCTACATCTTAGAACTATCTGATATCTTTCTTGTCTCAGGTTTCTTTTCTAACTGAAGAGACAAATTGAAGTCAAAGCAAGCCACATCGACTGGTTTTCTGATCTTGAACACGTTCTCTTTGTTGCGGATGTGAAAGAAGAAAAATTTGAAAAAGAGGTTCAGACCATCTTCTAGACCAGGGGTCTCGAAACTACGGCCCACGGGCCAAATGCCGCCCGATAGTGTCATCAATCCGACCCGCGACAGCCAATGATTTACTATCATCGATCTGGCCCGCGACAGTCAATGATTACCTAATTGTTGTTACTATTGCTGTGATAAGTTGAAGAACAAAACACAGAATGATAATTACTCGGTTTTATTTACTTGCAAGGTAAAACTTAACGACAGAAATGATGACAGAGAAAACTTAACTTAAGTATCTAAGTTTAAGCATATTAATAACTAACAAATAATTGAAATGAATACTGACTGGCGAAACGAGCATCGACAGTAGTGCTGCAGTTCTGGTATGTGGAAAAAGTGCTTTCGTGAAGCACCAAACACGGTTGGAACAAATGGAAAAAGGTTAATGGGAAGAGTAATATTTTTGAAAATGAGGATACTTCAAGGTTACTTAGTTTTATTGTTACCTTATTATTCGATTTCATCGATCATAATGATTCAGTTTTATTTTCGAACTGTCTTCCCATCCATTATTTTTTCTACCGATAGGTTTTAGTAGAAATAAAAATGTATTGAGTAAGAGTGTTGGGAATCAATAAATATTACTTTGTTCAATATATTCGAATATTGAACCATCAATTTGATTTAATCACGAGTGTTCTCAATTAATCTGTGAAAGGATCATCCCATTTTATCTTCAATAATGATGGATCAATAGACTCAAGCAAAACGTCATATTAATTGAATATTGATTTCAATTAAATGCTAATTGGATTTATAAATCGAAGTGTGTGAGGCTGATGACACCCAATTAATGTTTACTGACGGTCAAGTTTCGAGATTGAATCTATTGTTTCAGATTCAAAGAAAAATCGTAATCATAGGGTAGACGAGAAAAACAATGAATATTTGAGTGTCTCTTATTCAGTTTCCTCTACAGATATTTTCAAAGGACCCGCCTCCAGTCGTTTGTAAATCATTTCAACAT